GGTGTATCTAAACATCAATCAATTCCAATTAGAAATAAACTAACAATTAGTCAAAATAACCCATTTTCACCCATGTTTACCAACACATCAATATATATTTTAGCAACTGCTGTCTCCAAGCTTTTACCCAGCGTTTTAAGTGAAAATGAGTATAAATGAGCTCTTCCATCAATCATTTTCAGGAAGTGGAAAATTACATTAGCTATGCATTATTGGTGACGGCGAGCTCTCTGAACGTCTACATGAAAAAAGCATTTGCAACTTACAATGGCTTACAACTCAGGTGTAAATATTGTACCTAACTTATATAAGCTGCAAACACATATAGAATCAATGATTATAAACATGAATATATGTTTTATAATCAATGGCATTATTATGAAATGAATAATGTTATGATATAGCCCTAATTTTGCTAAATATCCTGTTAATTGGATAGGAAGATTTTTTCACCGACAGTGCATTACGGTATTTATTTGCTTCTTACCTTTTTGTGAACTATAGATGCTCATTAAGTAAATGTCAGGTTAACAGCGCATGTTTCAAAATCCAACAGAAAATTTCCACTATAAATTTATCCCGTTACTAATAAAGAAAAATGTCTGGACCATCTCACTAAAATGCACAGCTTATTGGTAAACATAGGACTCGAAACTGCTGTTATTTGAATATAATGGAGTATAAATTTAAAATGTGTCTAATAATACTTAAAACAATATTTACGCTTAAACTGTAACTCACAGTACTACGACGATCGTAAAATACAGTACATACATAAAATAGGGTAGGTTAAGTGGTGATCAATTTTGATTTGACACTTCATCATCAGAGATCCAATAGGCAAATGACAAGAATCCCAATGGCGTCCCTCCTTTAGTCCTTATTGACTACCGGAAGTACCAACTAAGAAGTTACTATAAGTGCTATAGATATAGTACTTAAAGTACTATATATTGTCTACCTACTCCTTTAATCTATCCTTTAACTAGAGTCAAAACTTACTTGTTCATTAATAAGCTCATTTCTATTTTTACATTTTCCCTTGTACGGTAAATACAAATTTTTCCCAAAATATAATCACATTTCCATTATAAAAATTATTTCAATTACATAGATTATATTCCACTTTCCTTAAAGAGTGGACATTTTGTAACAGTGCTGTGTATATTTGGACAAAATGGGGGACACTTGAGAAAAATTAAGATAATTTTAATCAACTGAGTACACAATTTAAAGCAATGTTTTGTTTGGTATATACAGAGTTATTTGGTGTACTAACATAATAGCTGGGTAGCAGTGGTTGTGGTGCTTGCCTAGTAATCAAATGGTTGCCGTTTAGATCCAAAAACTGTAAATTGTTATACGGTTTGCATTCACTAAGGCCTTAATCACTAACAAGACTAACTCAAGATCATCACTACCGTACTCATCCTTCACTCATATTAGGGTTAAAATACGTACCTAGTGGCGTCCCCATCTTAAATAATTGATAATTGATGATTGAATTGAATCATTGGTAAAAATACATAAATGTACTTATTATTACTTTGAGGTAATACCGAGGATCAATATATTTGTAAGCAACTTGTAAGTTAACATTTTAGTGACAGTTTGAAACCAGCTGTTAGGTTAACTAAAATGCATTAAAACAAAATGATAGCGTCAGCTGGGCACTTCTAAAAGTAAAACTTAATTTATAAAAAACTGAAACCTCAAACTAAAATTATAGTGTCGACAATCCCTTCCTTTCAAAATTATCTACAATAATATAATCATGATTCTATAAAGCGAAAATCATGAAAATCCGTCAAGTGGTTGATTCATAATCTTGAAATAAAAACCCCTATTATGTTTCAATATACAAGATAAGATTCTTTATAAGGTGATTATAAAACAAGAAACAAATTGTAGCTAAAAAAACGCCCAGATGTAATGCCGAAACACCTTTAAACCGGACATAACTAACCATATGAAAACTGTCTACGTAAAGACGACAAGTTTATAATGGAATACTAAAATTCAACTTTAAGGAAATAAAGTTGATTCAATATAACTGAAAATATCACATTAAAGGTATAGAATAAATCGTTGCGTTAACAGTTTTATGATACATCGAGGAAAACAATATGTATGATAATTTGGACCTAGTTCAGTTTATCCTGCCTTGTCTTAACCGATCCTTTAAAGATGTGTACGATATTTGTTGTTATTACAAAAGTGGTTAAAATGGTTATATGAAATATTTATGACACGTCATGTTAAATTACATCCATCTATCTATGGGGTATACAGTGTGTTAAAAAAGTACCAAAACAGCCCATTTTTTTTTTTTTTTTTAACTAACAGATACGGTGGTACAGTTTTTTATCTAGATATTTATCATAACAACATACCTTTTGAGCAATTATTAATTTTCATCTCCTCCAGGGGAACGGCCCACAAAGGATTAGGAAGAAAATCTTTAATGTAAGCATAGGTTGATATGTGGATCAAATTGAAGGTCTTTACTAGTAAAATACAATGCCGCAAATTTGAGGACAACCTAGTCAAAAATGGCAGCCGTTCAAAGATATCTTGAATCTGCCATATTAAATCTTTGAACGGCTGCCATTTTTTACTCAGTTGTTATTTTGAGCTCAAATTTGTGGCATTGTGTTCTACTAATTAAAACTAATTATGAATTTTAAGAAAAACAACAAAATCTTATAGCCAAACCACATATTGCTTGATAGTGAAAGTTTCAAGTGTAAAGCCATCGGAGTAAAGTTGGCAACCTATACAGACTGAGTCTATATTGTATCTTATCATCAAAGATTCTGCTCCATTTCCCTGAGTCAATATTGGGCCCTTCTTCAAACCTGAGTTGGAATTCAGTATATAGCAGGATATTTACAGTTAAACTACGTTGGTTTATTAATGATTCTACACAAGTAACCTAAAATCATTTCATTAGGAAAAGTGCAAACAACTACCTAAAAATAAATGGATCGAACACACACCTAAACAAAACACACCAGCTCAACAATTTTGTATCAATTGTTTCACCCAAAATATTATGGTTAAAAGCTGTTGTAAATTGAATAATGTGTACACCAGAAGATAAGATTCCAAACTTTCATTTTATTACAAAAATGAACTTTGTACCACAAGGGGCGGATTAATGTTTAGCACAAAAGTAAAAAGAATTTTCTAGCAAAGTCAGTTGCACCATACGCTTCACAAAACCGCCAAACTTTCAAAAAATGACAACAAGAGGTATTTTCATTCTACAAAGAAACGGGTACCACTGCAGCGTGAAAGGAAAACATTTTTTTATAATGTAAATATAATTTTGACAACCTTACATGACACTTTCAAAACAATAATGGTTCACACTTTTTACTTGTTTGTGAAGTGGCAGAGCGACTATAATAGTCGCAGTCGTAAAACATGTTATCATCTTTTTTTTAAATTACTTTTTATTTATTTACTTTCAAGTGGCATTACTTCCAATAAAAAGTGTAGTTTGTAATTTCTTGAAAGTAAATAAAAATTTGTTTCTTCATAAAATCTGTTAGCCTATTGAAAACCCAGTTTAATGTGAAAAAGGACTTGAAGTTTGAACGGGGATACGAGAAAATTAATTACTAACTACATTACCAAGAGATATGTACAACAATTAACACAAGATCACATCGTTGTCACAGATCTTTTGTTCTACGTACATCACTTTAGTGTCATAAACACAAATAAACCTGTAAAGCAGAGTGTTTAAAGCCTCACAAAATCAAACGGGGTATCATTCAATGATGCCTTAATTAGTAGACCCAATTGCCTAGATTCACTACCTACAGTTCTTCTCAAGTTTTGTATAGGAAAATATGCGATAGTCAAAATCAAAATCTTTAATTGTAGTCAGACAATATACATTGTACTACAAATGTCAACTTAAAATACTTCTAAATATAAATAATAAAATAACTAGTGGCTTGTAGGGACATTAGCCCCTAAAGATAACGCATCAATTCTTGCGGCGCATCGTCGAATACTACAAAACGTCATTGGCCTTTCCTTTAGACTTTAAGTTCAATATCAGTGTACATAATATTTTGCAGTGAAACACTTAATGTTTTTGAACACTCCTAATTATCCATTTGGTTAGTAATACGAGTACATCACAATCCAAATGTATTATATAAGCAATGCTCATTAGCATTTATAGAAATGTCCTTTTCCTTTGCACTGAATTTTGTAATTTGCTACTGTACTGTAGACCATTTGTTACAAGCATATGTTACAATACAATCCATTTGTTTACATTTTCGTAACACTGTCATAGCTACTTGACAGTCCATAAGACTAATGTTAAAAGTATTAAAATTTAATTTTAAGTTTTTAATGAAAAACAAATTATTCCACAACAGAGCCTGGCATGGATATTGTTTTTAGCCTACAACTAATATATTTCCAACAATTTGGAGGAAATCGTAGGAGCCGTTTTTTTAAATCATTGTGTGCAAATATTGCGGCATTATATTTAACACATCAAAAATAAAATGTCTTGGTATTGAACCAAGACGTATAATTATTTAATTACATACGAAATCCTTAAAAACAACTGCCCCACAAAAAGCTAACTTCTACAAACACTAACTTTATTTTCTATCAGTTAGTTTTTCAACTAACTAATAAGTTCTAAGTTCTATCATTTACTTTTTACGGGACTAACTAATACTTGTAAATAGTTAGAATTTTTGACTAATTTTCCCAACTATGCTGGTTACCTCTTGGACATTAGCCGAGTAATCTATCCACTACGCCACGTACACCGATGGCTGCACTTCGTTTCGTTGGGGTTATGGTGTTCCCTCAAGAGAAGAGAGTGATGTCACGCCATGACAGCCAATAGAATGTTCAATTTTGTCCGTAACGAAAAACCCTGCGTAAAACCGCAGCTGAAATAAAAATTGAGCTACCCCCCCTCCCTGCGGTTAAGGGTGAAGTTGCAATTAAAACACATGTTAAAAATCTTGAACATCTTTATTGAATAAGAAGATGAAATAAATATAATAATAACACCTGTAAAAATAATAATGTTATAACAAATAATTCATTGAGCGATAAACTCAACAGACCCTAATAAAATTACAAATTATCTACAAGTTACAATAAATAGTGTTTTTGGCAATCCACAAAACTATAGATCATCAGACCAGTTAGTTACCCGATTTTTGTAGAGCATTCAGTTCTTTGCGTGTAGTTTAGTACTTTGGTATTATAAGAATAGCCTATTTTTGCAATAATCTATAACATGGACCATTTTGTGACCGATGTGTTACAAATGTCTCGTCTGTTATTTGGTTAGGTTAGGGTAGGTTAAACTTGGACAGTGTAAAAGAACTAGCCTGATAAAATTAGTAAGGTTATTTTCTTTATATCTTTCAATCACTGTTACGATTGAATGCAATTTATTTATTTTTTTTTTACTGGTGCCTAAAGCAACTTCTTGCTTGTAAACGGATTTTATACAGTACCTACTGTTTAGCTAAAGAATGAATAACAAATTTCAAATTCGTGGTGGATAATTGATAAAGTGATAATTCATTTTGCATTGTGTGTAGATCTTATTTATACAATACCAAAGTATTTCACTCCTATTTCCTCATCTGATATCAATTTTTTTTATCTCCAGGAGTAGACAGAACTGGCAGTGAGAGTTGATTCAATTCTTTAGAAACCAGAGCCATTCACATGTATGTTGTATCTCAGTGCATCTGGAAATAAAATAACTGTTGGTATAGATAAAACCATAGACAAAAAGAATTAAATGTAGACTGTCAGCCGTGGTACGGTTACCATAGGTTCTGGCCCACACCGTTTGGAGCACCTTGTAGCTACGTAGCGCGTATGCCTAACTACATGGCGTTCCCAGCGGTGTGCGCCAGAACCTATGGTAACAGCAGCACAGCTATCAGTCTATATTAAATTCTTGTTGTCTATGAAAAACATACTCCCTTAGTATAATTCTCATCCTTATGGAACAGCTGAAGCCAATTTTATTGTTACCGGTAGTTCTGTCCAGTGCACTGTAGAGGTAGTGTTTTATTTACCTACAATTTATTTCTTGTTATTTCAGACATTTAAAAACCACTTTAACTTAATACAACAATCTAATCATAAACAATACCTCATCCGCTAGTTATATAACCATACTATACATCACAAATTATGAAATTAACCCTAAAATATAAACAAAATTTTGTTAACACTGGCGATCATTGTCACCGGATATGAACTAGACTCGAAAAACAAGCTTCAAAATTTACAATGGGATGAGATACAGTATCTATTTGTGTTGGTTAGTCTATGGTATTATCATACATTAAAAAACTATATATATAGTTAACCTATGTCACATGAACTTAGGTGAACGAAGTCCTATATTATTTTATGGAGAAAATATTGATAGTTCAGTTTATCTATATATATTTGATACACAGTTGTAACACTGTTTTCTTAGTAATTACTGGACCGATCTACAAGATTTATGTCTCAAATTAAAGGGGATAGTGTGTAGATTTGCCGAACTTCCTTAGAATTTACGTTTTTCCTAAGGGCTACGACCTACAGCCCTTTAAAGGTCGAGTCAATACAATTCTTATTGAACAATATAATACACTAGGGGAATCCCGTCGAAATCGACGGTTACTTTCGAGGCTTACGTTAATTCATCTAACTGCGATGAATTAGGTGAAATATACATATTTTGAGCATTTAACATTGTTCAAAGAGTAATATTGCGTTAGTTGTCAAATTTGGTTGTTCATTCAATGATTAAAATGGAGTTATTATTAAAATGTTATATGATATCTCTTCCTTTAGTAGAACCTTTAAATAGTATTTAAATCGTATTGGTGGATCTTGTAGTTAAACATTTCCACGACTTCATCAGTGTTTAAGAAAAAATATATGTTTGTTGAGAAGACACGTTCTAACTCCAAAGGGAGTTATATCCGGTACAGTGTAAGTTTGATTTTCCTTCGTCAAGTCGCGTCAGTTCATATCGTACTTCTGTGCCAATGAATGAACCCTCTAGCATAGTTTTGAGAAATTGACTATGGGGTTACTGATAAAGCTGGAATTCCTTGACATGGGGGATGACAGTTAGTTGTCTCGGCCTTATCAATATCATAAAGTTGTCAATATAATCTCTCTACAGAATGTTAGGTGTAGTGGAATACATGAAGTAAAGTTGGCTTTTATTCTTGAACTGTTAGGGGCCTCCTAGTTCATATGATCTTGGCGGCTTCATTGGCAATAAATAATGCAAATGACATAGCAATGGAACATTTCCAAAAATCAAAAATACTGCAAAATGGCTTTTACGAATATATTGACGTTTACATATTGTTAATCAACGTATATGATAAATACTTTAATCCTTTAATACGTTTTTTATGGCGACCATTCATAGTAGGTAAGTCAAGTATGAATGGAGATGAGTGTAGGATGAGTGGCACGATCTTGAAGTCTTGTTAGTGACTAAGGCCGATGTGGAGTCAAATGTGGCACAAAGTATGCCACACCGACATTCCTTGGATACAGCTGTTAACTAATAGCCCATACAGCGAATGGCAACCAAGGGAACTGCAGTTTATAGTAGAATTGGAACCAATTTTTTTTTGCATTGGTATTTATGAATTGGTATAATTATCAGGATATCACTGCGGGTAGTCGTAGTACTCGTGCGGACGTTAATCCACAACAGGGAGTATCGCATCCACAGTGCATTCCTATAAATCTCCACAATTCGTGACCTCCTAGTAGCTGGATTACAGGACGACGCCACCCGTCCCAGTCAAAGGATTGTGTGATCTAGTTTAAAATGAATATGACCTTTCTGTCATGGCAGTAGCTGCTTAAATTGTGTTTTCTCTTTGTACCATATTTTACAGCCAAAATGTCGTGTTATTTTCAATAATGTTACAAATTCGGTGCGCCAAAATCCCTAATATAGGCAGGTGCAAATAACTTGTCAAGATAGGTACCATTTTAGGCAATGTTTCTAAGTTTGGATTTTATTAGACACAATAAGAGCAGATATTTCTACATAAATATTTGATATTTTGTAGAATAATATGATAAAATGTAGGCAAAAGTGGCGAAAAAGGCACACACCAACCCGTACAATAGATATAAGATAGCTCAATAAGAAATAATTTAAGAATTGCTGTGATAAAAGGATTTTCCACTGATTTCATAATGGAACGTTATATTGCAAAACATGGCATGATAAAGAAGAAAATCAATTTTAAAATCAGAAAATAACATTGCAAATACTTATTTGGTAGAATTCAACTCCCAATAAATATGTGTTGTTTGAAATACAATTTAAAAATGAACAGCTGTTTCATTAAAAAGTATTATTCTCATGGCCAAAATGTAAACAACTCTGTGGAGGGATCTTTTAAGGCTTCTGGGGCAGAGTCCTAAGGGATTTTGCTTAGTTTTTCTTTTGATAACTCATCTACAGACCAAGACCTTTCTTTGGACACCTCTACCAAGTTTCTACGCCCAACCGTTCTCTCAAATTAGTGGGGACAAAGTTTCCAATCAAATATTTAGATTCCCCCATGTTTATCTTATGGGAGAAACTCCAACTTTGATGGCCTGTGGGGCAAAGCCCGAGGATTTTTACTACATAAATTGGTGAAAGGGGGCGTCTACACAAAAAATACTTTATTTTGACACGTCGTTTGTAAAAATCCGTCCATTATTAACGGAGGAGTAGTGTTTTCTAGAAATCGCCTTCACGTATTATATATAAGGATAGTTTATAAATTATTCGTCAGCTGTTTAATGTTTGTCAGACATTTGTTATTATTTTTATAACCTCACTTTCAGTATGCAATTATTAAACTTGGAGTTTCTGTTTATAAACACAAGATTTTTATCAAGGAAAGTGTATTTGTTAACTTATTTTTGAAATGTTTTAGTTTTCCTGCAAAGTGATCTGAAGGAAAGTGGTAATTGAGTTTAAGTTTGAGTATGGAATGTGAAATAATACCCATATTAGGGAACGGAAACTTATTGTTTTGATCAATATAATTTATTCTCTACGGCCACCAGAATAATCATGGGGAAATCCGCTTGCAAGTTGTACATATAATTGCTAATGAGTGGGAAGCATACAAACATTTTATAGTAGGTGACGAATCTTACTCAAGATCAGTGTTAGACGTTCAGTGGTACCAAACTTTACCTTCTCAAGATGGCGAGTACGCTGGGATACGTGGAACTACAATATATCAGTGAATTTTTTTTTTCAAGTACACAGGGAAGTTGCTTGAGAAACTGTGACTTACCATTCGGTTCTGGCGAAGAAGTATGTGACTTGATGTTTAATGAATGTTGACTCGGGTCATTATAGCATTATAAAACTTTATCATTAACCCTAGGATGTGAAAAGTACAAAAAGAAAAAGAAAAGGTAATCATTTACCGGGCGTAAAGAGACATACAGAACGAAAAAAAAACACGTAGAGAACCATCGAACTAAAAAGGTAAAGAGCAGTGTTGGTGTTAAATGTGCTCTGGAAGTCCCTTCTAAAAAATACCATCTTTTTTAAATTGGGGTCGTTAGATTGGATTTGTCAGTACGGCAAATCTATGAATTTTGAGTCAGAACAGACTAACTGGGACACAAATATTTTTTCCTTATATTGTCACAAGGGGAAGGTAAAATGAACTACTTATCAACATTGTGAGTTTATGGAAAATCTTATCAACAGCGACTATAAAAAAAGTATTAAGGGTCAAAAGAGATAAAAAACTATTTGAGTAAAAAAATATAATACAAATCTGCATTTGAAATGGCCAGTTCTAAGTCTCACTTGAATCAACATCTTTCTGGTAGTGGTAGTCTACATAGTTTTAAAATCCACGACTCCTTTTCCATCATATTGGACCGTTACCCTCTAACATTGAACAAAGTATGACCAAATTTATATATACGACGTAAACACAGCTTTTAGGTACTCACAGTATGGGTCAAAGATTCGTGTAATGCGACCAACTGCTGATGCGTGATTTACATGTAGACTAAGTGACTATCTTTATTCCATACAACAAATGTAATGAAAAAAAGAAACGACGAATAGCCTATAGGAATATACTTGAAAAAATTATCTAAATATCATAAATAGCTGCTTATTAGGTTATCAGCATTCGTATACTATTTATTTTTCAAATGAAACTCGAATTAATATAAAACATTCATTTGGTTAAAATAATATATCGGTTTGATTAACATAAAATAGTTTATACAAGCAAACTATCAGTTCTATTCCATGTAAAAAATTAAACAACCCCTAAATAAAATACAAAGATAAACAGTATTTGTTAATTATTATTTCTTTTATTGCTGACAATATTCCCGTGGCGGAGCACGGGCGGTTAACTAGTTATTCTAAAACAGTGATTAACAAATAATTTTATTTCAGAGTATCAGGCCTGAAAATGGAGTACTTTAAAGCAAGAAATTCTTAATTTTAAATTATATGTCTTTAGATTCACCGTTATTTTGTTTTTAATAGGCCTACCTATTTTGTGTTGTGATAGGATTTTGTGTTTTCATAGTATGTTTTTTTGATGTTTTTGGGAATTTAAGTAAAATATAGTAATGTTATTTGTTAAAAATGTAAAGAAGAGATTATTTTGTTTTTTCATAGTACCATGTTTCATTAGCAATTTTGTAATTTTACTAAGATGCCTCG